CTTATGTCGCTTACACTTTCTTCGCTGGAGCGAGCTGTTGCATCAACCCTGTATTATATGGGATCATGAATCCTACATTTAGGGAAGAATATTTGAAGATTCTCTGCAGGCATAGAAGATGTATGGGGAGGCCACAAGTGGTAAGGGATGCTTCCAACATTGGCGGGCACAGGGACAGAAACGAAGAGAGACACTAGATGAGATAAACACAACATAAATATCGATGTTTGTTGGTTTTGAATTCTTAATGTAAAAGTTTTGTATCGGCCCCATTGGTGCATGAAATATTGATAAATTGAATTTGTTGAATAAAAAGGGGGAAGAGGGAAAAAAGGTTTTACTGTTGTCTCTTATAATAATAGTATAGAAATTGGAGCAAATTTAGGTTTTAAGATGTGTGCGTAGTAATATACATATATTTTTTAATTGCGAATGTGGAGTGAAGTTAACGGCACGTGCATGCGAGAGGGTTTTTCGCTATTTTCCTGAAAACGTAAAATCGCAGTTTTGCAGAAAGTACGGACGATAAGGCTTCATCCATTTTTCTTCTGCTTTAGATTTTTCTTTATTAATATTTTCGGGACGGATTATATATCATCGCAAGTTGATCTGGATAGTTAGAAAGCACTTTATACTGTAATCGTCTTCGTCTCAACTGCCTCAGTAGCTCGTAATTTTCAAATTCTAATTTTGACATTGAATAGTATATTGATTAATTCTGGGCTTTATTTTTTTTTCTTTTTGGGGACAGTGTATAACGACTTCTAAATATTTTCTCAATGTTTCTGCGTATATTGACACCTAAGTTGGTAGTTTTGTTTTAATTACAAATTAGCATCTCAATCAATATAATTGGGAGTAGATTTGCCACCTGCAAAGAGGTTGCTTAAAAAAAAAACTCTCAACCCTAAGCTATCTTCCATTAAAGTTAGACGTCAGTCTTTAATGTCTTTTCACTTTTTCACTGTCAATTCCTAAGGGCAGATTTGCGAAAAAATTCTTTTAAAATCGTCTCGAGTCACTAGAAGAAAGGCGAGCTAGACGACTGGGGACGAGTTAGATCCTATCCGTTTTATGTTCGATGTGTATGGGTACTTTTTGTTGTTGTTGTTACAGGTTTTTTTTGAAGTTGTAATAATAATAATAATAATAATAATAATAATAATAATAATAATAATAATAATAATAATAATAATAATAATAATAATAATAATAAATCCCCTGTGGTGAAGGGGATTAAGAATATTGCCAACGCCAAGCCTTTCTGCGTGTCGTAAGAGGCGACTAATGAGGTAAATAGAGAATGAATATGTCTCAAAAAAGAAATTCATACCGCATCGGTCGTCGCGCGGGACAACAAGGGCCGCGTCCCTCAGTAAGGAACCAGGCTGAGGTCGAAAAGTTTGCTACTYYAACAAACTCTACTCAACAAGCAAATGAGGATTTCCACGCTGAGGATTCTCCTCTTAGTGGCTCTCATGATGCACCATCAGAAAACCCTAGAAAGACAATTAGAACAAAATGGTCGAGAGAAGAGTACAAAGGTGTAATGGAAGCATATATTTATGCACAATTGAAACCAACAACGTCGGTTACAACTGACTCATATAATATTTGGCGTAAAAACAACCCAATGTRAAGACCTTATATGACCGCAAACAAACTTGCAAATACAAGGCGAGATATAGTGAACAAAAATAGACTTACAGAAATTGAAATCCAAATGATAAAAAATAAAATATCTCAGGAGCTGGGCATCAGTGATGTAAGCAGTCAAGATAATGTGACTGCAGAAAGTTTTGTAGATAYCTTGCAGAATGATGAACAAATGATTGAAGTTGATGAGCAAGAACAATCAAATACTATTGATGTTACTGATGAAAAGYTAGTGGATATGGTAGAAACAATCATGAGAAAATGGGAAGTAGTAAAGGAAATGGGATTACAAGATAGACCATCAATACCAAAAATTAAACACGATAAGAAAGCGAAAGCAGTGCTGGATACAGTAAATAAAGCTCTCACAGAGATAAAGCACAAGCTTAAACAGAAATTTTCTATCACTGAAGTAAATGAACTTGTTTTTTCTTCCGCTTTTGCGGCTTGTGACACTCTTGGTTTAAAATCTCGTAAGAAGGTATGTAAGAAAGTCAAGCAACCACAATGGAAGAAAAAAATTGAAAAAGACATCCAAAAGATACGTGGTGAAATATCAATTCTATCCGAGATCAATAAAGGGAAAAATGTGAGTTTAAAGAAAAGAACGAAATCTGTCATGAGAAGGCATAACATCATAGATAACGACAGTATCCCAACAGTTGTTGAAAAGCTTAAACAACAACTACAAGCAAAATCGCAGAGGATTAGGAGATTTGAAAAAAGACAAAAATTTTTCCACCAAAATAAACTTTACAAAGAAAACACCAAGGTGTTTTATAGAGAACTAGGGAAAAAGAAGACCGAAATTCGTGAAATCCCTCAAAAAGAGGATGTCGAAAATTTTTGGGCCAATATATGGGAGAAAGAAAAGMATCATAATGAAAACGCTGGATGGCTGAAGGAAATACATGACCAATACCAACAAACTCCTGCACAAAAATGGTCAAAAATATCAATAGAGGAGACAAAAGCAGCCGTCCAGAAATCCAGCAATTGGAAAGCACCAGGATGTGATGGCATAGTAAACTTTTGGCTAAAATACCTGCCAGCAATTCATGAAGATCTGACATATGCTTATAACAGACTTATAGAAAATCCTGAAGAATGTCCCAATTGGTTAACAACTGGTATTACGTATCTTCTTCCAAAAAATGAAGAAACCATCAACCCTAAAAATTATCGGCCAATCACTTGCCTCCCTACAATGTATAAAATCTTAACATCAATATTAACATCTAGAACTTATGATCATATGGTGGAGAATAACCTGATGCCTCTAGAACAAAAAGGATGTAGAAAAGGAAGTTATGGGTGCAAAGATCAGTTGCTTATAAATAAGGCCATAATGGAAGAAATAAAATCCAGAAAGAAAAATCTGTCAACAGCATGGATTGATTACAAAAAAGCATTTGATTCTGTTCCCCATAGCTGGATCATGAAGTGTCTTGAAATRTATAAAGTCTCCCCTATTTTGATTAATTTTATCAGAAACAACATGTCACAATGGAAAACAACCCTAAACCTCAATCACAGTGAGGGAGTATTAACATCCAGACAAATTAATATAAAAAGCGGGATTTTCCAAGGTGATTCTCTTTCACCACTTCTCTTTTGTATTGCTCTTACCCCATTATCCTCACTCTTGAATAAAAGTAGACATGGTTACAAGTCTGGCAACAAAGTTATCAATCATTTATTCTATATGGATGATTTAAAAACTTATGCGAAAAATGATGATGAACAAACAGGCCTACTTACTATCGTTAAAGGCTTTAGTGATGATATCAAAATGGAATTTGGCCTTGACAAATGTGCCAAAGCAACTTTTAAACGAGGTAAATTGGTGAAATCTGAAAACATTGTGATTGATATAAATACAACCATTCAAGATCTTGAACAAGAAGGCACATATAAATATTTAGGAGTAAGTGAAGGTGATGGAATAGAACATTCTAGCATGAAAGAGAAAATCAGAAAGGAATACTATAGACGAATACGACTGTTGCTAAAATCAGAACTAAATGCCACTAACAGAATAAATGCAATCAACACGCTTGCAGTCCCAGTTGTCTCGTACAGCTTCAATATCATTAATTGGAAATTAGAAGATTTAAGAAGACTAGATAGAAAAACTCGAAAGCTGCTGACAACTGCAAAAATGCACCATCCTAAAGCCGATGTCGATAGGCTTTACCTTCCAAGAACATCAGGTGGTAGAGGTCTTATTCAAATTGAGACAAGCTACAAGTTAACCACTATCGGTCTTCACACGTATTTGAACTCCAATGAGGACTGCCTTCTTATGATTGCTAGAGAGCATGAGCAATTGAAGAACACAACATCTGTAGATGTTCAAGCTGCTAAGTTTAAAAGAGAATTCGATGTACCAGATATCGAAAAATTGGACAATGAAGGAGCTACCACCTATGCTCGAAGAACAAAACTTAAAGCTAAAAATCTGGCACTTGAACACTTAAAACATAAATGGGAAGAAAAACCTCTTCATGGTCAGTACCCAAAACGAATTAATGACAAAGATGTGGATCAAGCACAAACGTATGAATGGCTTAGAACATCTGGCCTTAAATCTGAAACAGAAGGGTTTATCATTGCTGCACAAGACCAGTGTATCAAGACCAACTACTATAGGAATAAGATCTTAAAAGATGGAACAGACCCAATGTGTAGGATATGTGGCAAAAACCAAGAGACTATAGACCATCTTGTTTCTGGCTGCTCAGAATTGGCCAAAACAGAGTATATTCATAGGCATAACAAAGCAGCAGCATACCTCCATTGGGCAATTTGTAAGCACTATAATATTGAGGTCAAAGATAAGTATTATGAACATGAACCATCAACTGTAGAAGACAATGAAGAAGCTACTATACTGTGGGATATGCCAATACAAACTGACAGGGAAATAAAGGCCAATAGACCCGATATAGTAGTGAAGAATAAGAAAGAGAAAACCTGCTTGCTTATTGATATGTCTATTCCAACTGAGAGAAACACCTCCGTAAAAACATCAGAAAAATTATCCAAATACAAAGATCTTGAAATAGAAATTCAAAGAATGTGGGGTATGAAGACCACAACAATACCTGTGGTAATAGGTGCTCTCGGTCTAATCAAGAAAGGGATGGAAAAATATGTCAAGCAGATCCCAGGTAACATCAGGGTACAGGAAATACAGAAGGTTGCTCTCCTTGGCACTGCTCATATAATAAGGAGGGCACTGTCAATCAAATAAACCATACACCCCCTCATAGATGCCCCAAGTCCAGGGCATTGGACTCGGCATCATGAGTGAATAGAGCAAAATAATTAAGAGATATAAAATAATAATAATAATAATAATAAT